TTGCCATTCTTTTGCTAATTCAGGCGTTTGAGAAGGCTCATTTTCTTCCAAATACAATTCATCAAGAGCTTCTCTTATATATTCATCATCACCTGCAAGTTCTTTATTTGACTCAAGAGGATTTCCCCCAAGGTCTACAATCTCATCAAAAGTAACATGAATAGATTCTTCTATATTTAAAGTTCTTCTATTAAACACCCTATAAGCCTTACTAGTTAATGAATAACCTAAGAAAATGCCCTCATCGGCTTTAGAGTCAAATTTTCCTAAGTTATCTTTTCCATTATTCAACACAAAGCACTTACATCCAAAAATTTTCAAATGAGCAACATTAGGTTTTCTACCATTAAACAATTCATATGGAGTAGATTTAATAATTGACCTAATGAGCATTCTATTTAAAACATAACATGCAGTACTAACCGCATCAGCCCAAAAATACTTAGGAACATTAGATTCATTTAGCATAGTTCTAGCAAGTTCCTCTAATGACCTATTTTTCCTTTCAACCACACCATTTTGTTGGGGAGTCCTAGGAGCAGAAAAGTTATGTAATATTCCATTTTCTTCACAATAATTTTCAAACTTTTCATTTTGAAACTCACCACCATGGTCACTTCTTAAAACTTTAATTCTTAAGTCTTTTTCATTTTGAATTTGTTTTGCAAATTTTCTAAAGACCTTAAAAGCTTCACTTTTCGTAGTTAGGAAAAATGTCCATGTATATCTAGAATAATCATCAACAATCACAAGACCATAATAATTTCCACCAAAGCTTTTTATCCTAGAAGGTCCAAATAAATCTAAATGTAATAATTCTAGGGGTTTTGAAGTGGAAATAACATTCTTTGATTTAAATGATGATTTTACTTGTTTACCCTTTTGGCATGCATCACACAATCTATCTTTTTCAAATTTTAACCTAGAAAAACCAATAACTAAGTCTTTTGAAATCAATTTATTCAAATGATGCATATTTATATGAGCAGCTCTCTTATGCCATAACCAAGGGTTCTCTTCCTTAGCAACTAAACATGTTATGCTAGACTCATGTAAACAATCCAAATCAATCAAATATATGTTGTTATGCCTAAGGCCTTTTAATTCTACATTTTCGGAATCTATCAAATGTATGGTGCAAAATTTACTTTCAAAAATTACCTTAAATCCTTTGTCACATAGTTGACTTATACTAAGGAGATTATGCTTTAGTCCATCAACAAGTAGCACATCCTTGATCTCCAAAGTGTTTGCACCACCTATGTTTCCAATTCCAAGGATCTTCCCTTTGTTGTTGTCCCCATAAGTTACATATCCTTGTTCCTTAGCTTTGAAACTCACAAATTTAGATTTATCTCCGGTCATATGTTTTGAGCATCCGCTATCAAGATACCACATAGACTTCTTTGATTTGGAAGTTTCCTACAAAACAAGAATATAGTAAACTTAGGTCCCCACAACTTTTGGGTCCTTGGGGTTAGAGACATAACAAATTATTTAACTATTGGAACCCAAATGTATTTACCTTTAGGTACACCAAAATGTTTAATTTTACATCTATTTGACGTGTGACCTTGTTTCATGCAATAAAAACATGCTTTAGATGTAGCATTTGAAAATGATGCATTTCTAATCATAGATGCTCTAGTTCCTTTTTCTATCCATACTCTTTTATTTTTCCTTTTAGACTTTTTCAAAGGAACTTGTTGACTTACACTATTTTGAGCAAACACCATTTCATGCTTCTTAAGATCATCTATTTCTTTTTCGGCTTTGTCTAGCAAATGGTTAAGAATATCTATGTCATATTCATGCTCTTTACAATTTGCACATGCTAGGTTCTCATCATTTTCCTCATCTAAACATACAATTTTCGTATTTAAGGACTCCTTTTCTTCTAAACATGTGATTTTCATTTTTAAGGAGTCTATTTCCTTTTCGGATCTACTTAAGTTCTTCTTTACAACTTTATATTCATTTTTCAAATTCTTAAAAGCACTAAACAATTCATTATAAGCATTTTGCAATTCATCATAGTTATTATACTCATCACTAGAAGATGTGTCGGAATCACTTACCTCAAAATCGGAAGAAATGTTGTCATTTGCCATTAAGCAAATATTTGCTTCTACTTCCGAGTCACTTGATTGCGAACTTGAATCGCTGTTATCCCAAGCAATATAGGCTTTCTTCTTGAAGACCTTTTTGCCTTTGAATTCATCATTCTTCTTATTTGGACATTCAGTCTTTACATGTCCTGCTTCACCATAACCATAGCATTTTATATTTACAGAAGAATTTTCCCTTTACCTTTCCTTTACCTTTGAAGGGATGTCTTCCTTTGGCTTTCATGAATTTGGTAAAATTCTTTATCATAAGACTCAACTCTTCTTCTTCATCGTTTGAGTCTTCTTCTTCCCTTTTATTTTTACCTTTGGAGATTTCGGTTTTGAAGGCTAGATTCTTCTTTTGATATTGCCCTTCTTCATCATTTAGCCTACCAAGCTCAAGCTCATGCTCTCTTAGCTTTCCGAATAGCGCCGCCATTGACATTGTGGCAAGGTTTTGTGACTCCGAGATGGTCGTCACCTTAGGTTGCCATTTCCTATCCAAAGATTTTAAAATTTTTAACATTTAATTCATCAACGTCAAATATTTTACCTAATCCGGTGAGATGATTCACAATATGAGTGAAACGCTTTTGAACGTCGAAAATCGTTTCGCCTTGTTGCATCCGGAACATCTCGTATTCTTGGATTAGAGAATTTTTCCTTGCTCTTTTGATGTCGTCGGTACCTTTGTGGGTCACTCTAAGCATTTCCCACATTTCTTGGGCACTTTTACAAACAGAAATCCTGTAAAACTCGTCAAGCGTTAAAGAAGATGAAATTATATTTCTAGCCCTAATGTCAAATTGTGCTTTTCTGTTTTCTTCTGCAGTCCATCTAGAAAAAGGTTTAAGAACGTCAACACCGTTCTCTATAACTTTAGGAACAAATGGACCGTTTAAAATAGCGTCCCAAACGCCTCTATCAACAGACTCTAAAAAGATTTGCATTCATACCTTCCAAAAAGGATAATTTTGACCCGCAAAAAGTGGGGGTCTGTTGATAGACGCACCTTCGACAAAAGTTTGATTTTGTCCGGCCATTTTCGAAAATTTGAATGACTATCAAAGCAAGCTCTGATACCACTTGTTAGAATCGCGCAGCGGAATGTTCGCGTGGTCGGACAAAAAAACCAAGAGGGGGGCACTAGTGCAAAAAGGGGCTTTTACGTCAGGTATTTAGGGCTTTTTACGTCGTATTTAAGTCCGACGTAAAAGCGGGAGACGTAAATTTACGTCGGACCCTTTTACCCGACGTAGATTTACGTCAGTTATGAAGATACGACGTAATTTTGCGTGGCATATACAATAAACAGACGTAAAAACCTTTTCAATTTAAAAAAAAAAAACAGAAAATTTACGTCGCATACAGTATATACGACGTAAATTTACGTCGCATACAGTATATACGACGTAAATTTACGTCGCATATACCATATGCGACGTAAATTTACGTCGCATACAGTATATACGACGTAAATTTACGTCGCATATACCAATATGCGACGTAAATTTACGTCGCATATACCATATGCGACGTAATTTACGTCGCATATGGTATATGCGACGTAAATTTACGTCGCATATTGGTATATGCGACGTAAATTTACGTCGTATATACCAATATGCGACGTAAATTTACGTTTTTTTTTAAAATTGGGTTTATTTACTCTGCTTTTACAACTAAAACCTGCAAAAATTACAACCAGTACAGTCCGGAGCAGCTTTCTTTTGCTAGTAAATTAAAAATATAATATTATATAATTCAAACTACATAATAAAACAAAATAATACAAACATACAAACTAAAAAATCTATTACAAACTAAGCTACCTATACAAACTAAGCTACCTATACAAACTAAGCTACCTATACAAACTAAGCTACCTATACAAACTAAACTAAACTACATAATACACACAATATAATATGAACAAGAACATAAAAAATAATGTACTAGAATTGTAGAACAAAAAATTTTGCCCATTGTTCTCTAATTTCTGTAATCTCAGATTCTCGGTAATGGAGATGGATCTTGAAATACCTGAAACATGAATTTGACTCTTGTAAGCATGCAACATGAATAAAGTTAAATAAACTTAACTAATGTTAAAAGTAATTACCTCAGTCCAAGAATCAATTAAACCCGCACAAACTATGGCTCTCATCCAATACATTACATAGTAACCACATTCAAACGAGTCAGCTTGCTTATTACACTTGAAATGATGAAAAAAACATAATATTATTTTCAAAATTGAAATATAAACAATAATTATGGTATTCACTTATATAAATAAGTTTCTAACCTTAGGATAAATGAACTGCAATGTCTTTGTTCTAGGTTTTCCACTTAGAACATTAGTTCCAGACACCAATTCTAAGTGAAAAAAAGTCATATATTATTCAATATGTATTCACAATTTAAAAACATAATTAATGAATAAAAGATAAAGTTACCCTTGTAATAAGCTTTTCATTTCTTGACTCGGTTTCCGATGTAATGAACAAAACCATACCACAGTGTAATCCAGGGGTATGATTACAATTAACTGCCAATGGGACCTACATTGTATGACATAAAAATTAGTTACAAAAATATAAATTAAAATACAAATTAAAATACTAACCCTTCAATGTATGGAGCCAAATATATATGTCTTCTTGAGTCACTCATCCATGTTTGCATATATTGTTGGATTCCAACCTTTGTATTTCCAGATTTTTGGATGGATTGAGGCTCAATAAATCCGTATACTTCGATTTTTCTTGTTCCACACTCAAATTGTCAAGGTACCTAAAACAATTAATTATAAGTTGAATATAATTATTATAATCTTAGAAACATAAATGAAAATGACTTACATTGCCCACAATTGTATGATGGAAATGTTTAACATGCAATTTCCCCAGCAATTTCTAAAGCATCGGGCAAGGAAATGTACAATGGAACACTGGAATTGTCAATTCCAAACACTCTAACATCCCATTGTATCTCGACACGGTCTCTTCCTCAACCGTGGTAATACGGCTAACAACATAGAGATGGGATCATCATCACATTCTGCAGATCCTCATCAATAATAGGTTGCTTTTTATGCTTAGCACGACGCAAGTCCTCCTAAACAAATGATAACAATTAATTAAACATTTATATAATTATAATACTAGAAAAGAAGTAAATAGACAATATGTATATATATATATATATATTACCTTGGTCTATGCTGATAGTGGCATAACCAAACGTCTTGGCCAAGCCAAGAATGTCCCGCTTGCCTGCCCCACTAATTGAATCTCTTCATTAGGAAAAGGCACTGGAGCATTAGCATCATTAACTTCATCAACTACTACTCGTGTCCAGTCTGGCTGTAGAGGGACACCATGGATGGTTAAGCCACCCTCAAAAACTCGACCAACAGCCACTAGACGCGGGGGGTCATCTTCAACATATAACTCACACTGGTGTGATGCATCAGTCTGAGTATATTCTCCTGAAGGATCAGACAGTCAGTAGCAGGCACAACTCCCTTTAGTGCTGACTTCGAACAATATCATGTTCAATTGTTTGAGGTGTTCCTTGAGTCTCGTTGCCTAGAGCGGCGAGAGATTCAATTTTCTCATCAAACTCTTGCCTGCAAGGATTGCCTTATTTGATTTAACTTTTCTTCAAACTGCATCTCCATTTTATGCAAGGCCTCCTGGCTGCAAGAGTCAGCAGTGGTCCTTCGTGATGTTGGACCAAAGTAATCACGAAGGCCCCAGGTTCCACCAGCACCACGCACACGTCCTGAGTAATCTGGTTTTCCTATGGCTGCTGCCAATATATCTTGTCGACCATGAGGAATAAATGATCCTTGGCTGGTCTGCTCAACTAAATCATCCTACAACACATTAACAATAATTAAGTCATACACTAACTTTCAAATTAAAATCAATTCAAATTGACATTATAACTTACGATTTTCTGAGCAATGATTCGTGCAGACTCAGAAGTCATTTGTCCATCAGATTTTGTCCGGGCTGCCTTCCACATCTGATAGCGAGGGGGTGGAGATGCAAGGTCAGTAGAATCAACTCCTGCTGACTCTTCTCTGGATTTCATGAGACGTTGCTCCAATAATGCATACCCTCCTCGTGACAATACATGAGGTGCATCATTCAACCTCTGACGTTGTTGGGCAGCTTGTCTTTTATCCTGCCAAGAGGGGTCCATTCGGCTGGCACAAAACTGTAACCAATCCTCCTCACTAATTTGATACTTTAGACAGGGAGATTCATCTCGAAACTTTCCAAATACATACTCCCGTGTCAAGAAAGTCTTAAAGTCCCTCCATCTAATGGCAATGGAGGATAAAATCTTCTTCCTCATCACCTCAGTGTTAGGAACATCAAAATTTTGCTGTGAAATGACCAATAAATGTTAAATTCAATTAATAATGATATATAAAGTATTCAACAAATATAGGAATACCTGAACATCCTGCCACATGAGGTTCTTCTCGGTTTCCTCAACATCATCCCAAGATGGAGTAGTAATCGGAACATGGTGTCGAGCTAGTAGTCCCAAATAGCTCTTAAACTTAGCAGCATTTGGGCCAGATGCCTTACCAGAACGTGGATCAACTTCAACTTGAGTTTTCTCTCTAGCTACCCTCCTTGCTGTCAACCCCTTTAACCGAGTGACAGATCTACCTTTATCACCACTTCCGCTCCTACCACTGCCACTACCACTACCAGTACCAGCTGTGGAATCCGACATATCCTGAAAAACAAAACAATATGAAGTCAACATACTTTATAAGTTTGAATAAAAAGAACTAGAAAATGTGAAGATAAACACCTATTATGTTGGTATGTTTTCCCATATCCCTTCATCATGATCACTTCGAATTGCATGTATGTCATCAACTTCATTGTCAACTATGTCATCAAATGGTCTACTTGAAAATGAAGGTGTTTCATGTATATCTAGAGACTCATCTTCATGAATTCCGATGCATGCTTCTTCCTTCTAGGACAATTGACCATCTCTCATTACATGGATCCTTGACATAAAATATTTGTCTCGCTTGATATGCCAAAATAAAAGGTTCATCCTTATACCCAACTTTACTCAAATCAACCAAAGTAAATCCTAGGTCATCTGTTCGCACACCAGTATTCCCTTCAACCCATTTACACTTGAAGGCAGGCACCCTAAAAGTAACATAATCAATTTCCCATATCTCTTGTATGACCCCAAAATAACTCATAGAAGCTGTGATAGGATTTTTGTCTTTAGAACTAGAAAAATGCATAGATTCAAGCTTGAATTGTGACCCCACTATTTTGTACTCTACCTTTATCATCTTCTATTTTTGAGTAGAAACAATAGTTATTAATGTCATACCCACCAAATGTAATGACATCACTATTAGGCCCACGAGCAAGTCTCAAAAGTGTTTCTGAAGCATTAATCTCAACATATACCCTTTTTTTAAACCAAGAAAGGAAACTTTTGTTATGTTCATTCAATACCCATTTTTCATTCATTCGTGGATGTGTTGCCTTTATTTCAGTTATGTGTTGTGATATGTAAGGGATTACTTCATCAAGTGTTGTTCAATATGTATAAATGTGCTTGGTCAACTTCTTTCCGACTAACATTTTTAATCTTCAAATTTCGAGTACCCTTACCTTCACATCTTCCATCATGTCTCATCTTAGGAATACCTATTGGTTCTGATTTTGACATATATCCTTGACAAAACTCAATGGCTTCTTCTGCAATGTACCTTTCCACAATAGAAGCTTCTGGCCTGTACTGATTCTTCACATATCCTTTTAAGATCTTCATGTATCTCTCAACAGGATACATCCATCTAAGAAAAATTGGACCACATAATCGAATTTCCCTTACCAAATGGACTATCAAATGCACCATGATATCAAAAAATGAAGGGGGAAAATACATTTCTAACTGGCACACTATTACAATTGCTTCATTTTCTAATTCATCTAACTTTTTTGGATCAATTACCTTTTTACAAATGGCGTTGAAAAACAAACATAACCGAGTAATAGCAATTCTAACAGAAGTTGGTAAGATGTTTCGAATAGCCACTGGTAAAAGTTGTTGCATCAACACATGACAATCATGAGACTTTAAACCAACTAATTTCAACTCTTGCATAGACACAAGACTCTTAACATTTGAGGAGTATCCTTGTGGCACTTTGACCTCACGTAAACACTCACAAAAGCTTCTCTTTTCTTTCTTTGATAGAGTATGACAAGCTGGAGGTAAGTAAGTGCGTTTTCCAATTGATTGTGGATGTAATTCAGAACGTATACCCATGTCCGCCAAATCTTGTCTTGCTTTTATTCCATCTTTTGTCTTTCCTTTTATGTTAAGCAATGTCCCAATTACACTATCACAAACATTTTTTTCAACATGCATCACATCTATACAGATGTCTAACTTCCAACTTACACCAATAAGGAAGATTGAAGAATACAGACTGTTTCTTCCAAATGTTTTTCTCATTGGATTTCTTTTGGGTCTTTCCAAACACAATATTAATATTTTTCACTTGCTCATATACTTGTTCACCATTGCATGGTACCTGATGCAACTGCATTCTCCTGACATCCATTAAATGCTTTCTTCATTTTACGATATGGATGGTTAGCAACTAGAAACTTTCTATGCCTATTGTACGTAGCTTTTTGTCCATGTTTCAATTGGATATAACTTGTGTCTTCTTGACATATAGGACACGCTAAATGACCTTTCACACTATAACCGCTCAAATTACCATATGCCGGAAAATCATTTATAGTACAAAATAACATTGCACGCAACCTGAAATTCACTTCGTGATATGAATCAAATACATCCACTCCTGTTTCCCACAACATCTTCAAATCATCAATTAAAGGACTAAGATATACATCTATGTCATTTCCTGGTTGTCGAGGTCCTGAAATCATCATAGATAACATCATATATTTTCTCTTCATGCATAACCAAGGAGGCAAATTGTAAATGATCAACATAACTGGCCATGAACTATGTTTACTACTTAAATTTCCATAAGGATTCATCCCATCTGTAGCTAATCCAATTCTCAAGTTTCTTGGCTCTGCACCAAATTCTGGAAAGGTTTCATCAATCCTTTTCCATTGTGGAGAATCAAGCTGGATGTCGAAGAAGATTGTCACATTTTCTACCATTTGCATGCCATGTCAAGTTTCTTGCATCTTCTTTTATGGCAAATAATCTTTTAAACCTAGGTATAATTGGCAAATACCATAACACCTTAGCAGGGGGACCATCTAGTTCTTCCTCACCACTACTTTCCTCAACTTTGGTTTTGAACCTCGACAAACCACATGTCGGACACATCTTTAATTTAGCAAAATCATTTCTGTACAATATACAATCATTAGGACATGCATGTATTTTCTTGTACTCTAAACCCATTGGACATAATATCTTCTTTGCCTCATAGTTACGAATAGGTAATGTATTATCTTCAGGAAGCATCTCCTTCAACAACTCCAATAATTCGGTGAAACTTTTATCAGTCCATCCATTTCTTGCTTTTAAAGTAAACAATTTTAAAGTTGCTGATAATCTTGTAAAACTACATCCTATGTACAATTGTTGCGCAAAATCAGATTTCAAAGAATCATATAGATGTGCTTTCATAAAATGTTCTTCACCAATATCACGTATCATATCCTCTAGATTATCATCCATCCCTTCATCAAAATTGTCTGTAGTTGACACAGTTGGGATGTCTAATATTTCTCCATGCCATGTCCATATTGTATAACTCTTAATAATACCATAAACAAACAAGTGATCACGTATATCCTCAAGTTTATGACGAATTTGATTCAAACAACGAACACATGGACAATAATATGTCCCTTTCATAGCTTTTCCATTTTCACTAGCAAATTTCAGAAATTCCTCAACTCCCTTTTCGTACTCTTCACTAATACGACGTGCATTCATCCAACTTCGATTCATATTATGTTATAAAGTTTCGTCACTCCTAAAGATTTAAAAATTATATGTAAAAAAAAATTAATATACAAACAACAAAGCACGTTCCAACAACAATGGAGTGTGTAAACCGAATGCACTCAAACAAATAAACAAATAACTGCATTCCAATAACAATCCAAGTGGAGACATTCATACTATAACGTGATTGAGATCCCCAAAAACAATCACGGATTCAATGTAAACATATAGCAATGACAATGAACACTAACCTCGAGTGTAGACGAAAACTGATTTCAAACTCGAATCCAATCTGGGAGAAAGATGAAGTTCGTCAAATGACACGACAATGTAGATGTTTTTCACTGTAAAGCCGCTCGCAAATGGTGTGCGAGGTAGCTGTTGTCGCCGTTCTCGTCGTCGTTCTAAAAACCTCGGTTGCGCGAGACGAGGAAGTGAGGCCGGGAGGGAAATAAAATAGACTTTTTACGTCGCGCATGTAGTAAGCGACGTAAAAGTCATCTTTACGCCGCATCGGGAGGCGCGACGTGAAAGATGGCCTTTACGTCGCGTCACGGGGGACGCGACGTAAAAGCCTTAGCTTTTACGTCGCGCCCCCGTACGCGACGTAAAAGG